CTTCTTTTTATTTTATTATACAATACATTTAATTTGAAATAATTCTAGATCTAATTCATTGGCTGATTCGCGTAGATTGTTACGCCGCTTAGAAGTAAAATGTATAAGTTATTAACGTCTCTAGAGTACGAGCCTAGATAGCTAAGAGGTTAGCACAATAGGTTACTAAGCGGGTGGCATGGGTTCTACACATGCCAGTGGTTTTATTTATTTATTTATTTATTTTGTTTTGTTGTGAATGATAATGTTGCCTTTGCCTATTGGAACTTAGCGGGATACAGGGCAGGTGAAGTAGAGTTCACCTGTTTCTTTGTCCTCAGTGTATAACGTGGATAGTGTCGTCAGAGCCATGCTCGGCCGGAATCTTTTTTTAAAAATAAAACATGTTGCCTGAGACTTGGCGGAACACTGGGCAGGTGACGTAGTGTTGGGTAGGTGTAAAGTTCACCTGTGACGGCAGCATATGAAGAGATAGTGTGGTCAGACCCACGCTCAGCCAAAATCTATGTTTTTACAGACAAAAACATGTCTGAGTTGGGAGGACACTGGGCAGGTGAAGTAGAGTTGACCTGTTTTTGTGACCTCAGCATATGAAAAGATTATGTTGTCAGACGAAGTCAGTGTTTTTAAAAGACAAAAACGTCTGAGATGTGATGCCTTTTGAATGTGGGGGTCTGGTTATTTTATGATGATTAGTGACAGACGTGATGTCATTTATGGATGGCCCCCGAAACCCACAGTTATCTAACTAGATAACGGGTAGTCTAGTATACTACTAAAACTCAAGTTTGTTTACATGTTTGAATTTTTTTTTTTTGTCTGATTGACTATTGTAAATGGATATACTCTATGTGGAGAGCTGTAAAATAGTATGTAGGTAGAGAATTATTTTTTTCAGACAGACTGTTATTCACAAATTTATTTAAAGTAAAGGCGTTAATTAATTTATTGATTTATTCATAGGTAGATTAACCACATTAATTTTAAAGTTTTGGAACAATGGCTTTCTTTGACTGAAAAGTGACGTCACAAGTTTTGTTTACTTTTTAGTACAATATAACATGGCGGCTTCCATCATAGACTTTGTGGCCCTTTCAAAAGTTTAACGCGTTCCAAAGCTAATTTTCTGTCGGCCATGACTTTAACAATACGTCCGTTTGCTGTTTTTATTACGTTCCATCCAACACTTAGATCTATATAAATTTTCAACTGTCTTTTTCATTTAGTTTTACAATAACTTTCTCTACCTCTACAATCTGTCCAAGAAAGTTATTTATAGATCTAAAAATATCACGTGGCCAAGCAAGTTATTTATAGATCTAGATCTAGAATCTAGGTAAAACCAAAGATTAATTAGATACATACCAAAGATTAATTAGATAAAAATACAATCCATTTTATAATCATAATACATTTTTTAGTCCTTAAATACTTGATATAAATCTTTGTGATTTATCTATCTAGATCTAGTTCTATCTAGCTAGAAAAGGTCTAATGATTAGTTCTAGATTCTAGATCTAGAATTTCTAGATCTAGCAAGAGTTACGCAAATACTAGACTTAAGACTTAAGCAAACGAGTCGTAGAATCTAGATCTAGATAATTCTATCTAGATCTAGATAATTTCAGACCTACATTATTTTATATAAATCTTTGTTTGGCTAATTTAAGATAAAATTTAATTAGAAAGTTACTACTAGAATCTACTAGACTTAGATCTAGATCTATGTGCGTAAATCAAGTTGCATAAGGAGACTCAAAGTATTAAAGTATAGTATAAAAATACATCTGTAACGTCACGAGTTAAATAGCGAAGTTGTTAGTGTAATTGGCTATATTGTTTCTTGAGGGGGGGGGGGGGGGGGCTTTCCGTGTTCGCTATAGCTCCTACGTTCGTTTAAGTGAGTGCATATGACTATGAATAATTTGGAGTGCTATAGTAACGCCCCAGCATGGTGCAATTTAGCGCTCCGGGCTGGACTATGAGCAGTATGCTTTTATGTTTGCATTTAATTTTGTGTTTATGTTTGCGTTTGTTTGCATTATTTTGAGTTATTGTTTGCGTTTAGGTTTGCGGTAATGTTTCTATTTGTATTTGTGTTTGCTTTTTTGTTTGCGTTTGTGTTTGCGTTTGTGTCTTTTGTATGTTTGGGTTTGTTGTTGGGTTTGTGTTTTGCGTTTGTATTGTTTTCGTTAGTTCTTTTGTTTGTGCTTGTGTTTTGTTTGCGTTTGTGGTTCGGTTTGTGTTTGCGTTTTAGTTTGTGTTTTTGCTTGTGTTTGTATTTGTGTTTGAGTATCTATATATAATATATATATATATATATATATATATATATATATATATATATATATATATATATATATATATATATATATATATATATATATATATATATATAATTCTCTTCATGGAGACGTTAGAAAACAAGCTGTAAGCGCGCCTTGCAGTCCCCTCTCTTCCTCTCTAGGAAGTCTGGCGAGCTGTGGTTTACGCTAAATGTTTACAATCGTAGAGCCGGGTTTAGTGACGGCTATTATGGGCAGATGATGTAGTTTGAAACGATTTTAAAATGAGGGGAGGTAACTAAGAGGAGTTTTGTTTCAAAGGGGGGGGGGGGGGAATAGGGTTGGTGGAAAGGAGGGGGTATCGTTCTCAACGACCATCTGATAGTATTTTAAAGCAAATATTTTCAGTGGTAGCATTGGTACTGTCGAATTAAAAATTTTGAATTACTGAAAAGTAGAAAATAAAACAACTAAATAGCGGCGTATGATACGCCGCAGGTCGGTTCGTGTGTTATATTTGTGTTTTTGTTTGTATTTGTGTTTGCGTTTGTTTTATATTGTTTTATATTTGCGTTTTTTGTGTTTGGTTTTGGTTGGTTGTGGTTAGGGTTCATTCAAAAAGTAATATATTATATTCCTAAACCCAATCAAAGATATACGCTGATTACTGAACAAACAAGTCATGGTACTTTACAGATAGGTTTTTCAGAGAGACCAGTGCAGGGTCCGGCCGGGACGGCTAGTTTTATTTTAATGTGTTTGTTTTGCTATGGAATTGGCTAATTTGGGATATAATTTAATTATATCCTATATATAACTATTATAGAGTAACGCAATTTCCTTACGCTGAAACCAGTGTTTCTTCCAGACTTTTTTCTCCGGGGGTGGGGGGAAGGGAGGACACTTAAAATTTTCGGGGGGGTGGGGGGGGGGGGGGGGTTGGACTAAAATTTCTGGAAGGGGGGGGCGGACACTGTAGAGGGGGCTGTAGACTTTCTTCGGGGGGGGGGGGGGGAAGAAAATCTGGCTGACACTAAGACTAAGTAAAATATATCACTAATTTTGCACCTAATCGGAAGTGCACAGCTAGCTGAGTTGATAGTGTATTCGTCACTATGCGATTGGAACGGTTCGAGACACATTATGTCAATGTAAAAGAAAATATTTTTTAAAGATTTAAAGTTGCCTATCTTGGCGGGACACGGGGCAGGTGAAGCAGAGTTCACCTTTTTCTGTGACCTCAGCATATGAAGGGATAGTGTGGTCAGACCCATGCTCAGCCGAAATTGGCGTTTTTAAAAGACATAAACATGCTGTCTGTGACATCTTTTTGAATGTGGGGTCTGGTTATTTGTGAAGATGTATGACAGTGGGAAGGGAAAGATAAAAATAGTCAAACAAACGTGACGTCATTGATGGATGACCCCGAAACACAAGGTTATTCAAGAATAACCGGTAGTCTAGTTCTATTTTAAAATCTTAGTTTTTTTTTTCAAATGTCTATATCCCGACTGCACTGGAATTGCCATCCCCATTAGTGTTATCTAAGAATATTCGAGAAAGTTTAGGGTATAACACTAATGTTGATGGCAACTCCAGTCGGGATATAGACATTTGAAAAAAAAAATTAAATAATTAAATTTTTTAATAGGCATAAGTTGAAAACTATAATACAGTAAATTTGTATTACTAAAAACAATTTCACATCAAAAGACCTTAAACAGCCTGCGTATATCAGCGCGGAAAATAGTATTTTATATATGAAACTTTAATTAATTCTTAAAAATTCATTAAGAATCAACTTACGTCAAATTTATGCCGCATTGCATTGTCTTCGAGGCGTAATCAATGTGACAAGTTTGAAAGAAATTAGTCCGTTATAAGTGGTCAACATTTTACTCGCCAGGCTCGACCAGAGTTTCTTCCAGGCATCTCTTCGGGCGCCCCCCCCCCCCCAAAAAAAAAGTCTACCACCCCCCCCCCCCCCCCCCCCCCCGAAAATTTCAAGATCTGTACTTTGCAGATGACTAGCACGAAGTCAGAAACAAATGCAAAACAAAACTTGTTCACGAAACTTATTTTACTATACAAGTTACAGTAGCGTAAACAATTGTAACTTCCTACAAGGTGGCGCCTTTTTAAAAACTTTGAAAGCAAAAATATAATTTTCTACAAACTTGGAGCCTTTTAAAACTATAATAAACATTTTAAACAATTATAATTTTTTAGAAATGTAAATCATATACAACAAGATTTCTTTTCATGCAGCAATTAAGCCACCCCCCCCCCCCACACACACACATTACTGCTTGTGCTTGTAGACATGCTAACACCCCCCTCCCCCACACACAACTTGTAGACATGCCACCACCCCCCTCCCCCACACACAGCTTGTAGACATGCCACCTACCCCCTCCCCCCCACACACACATCAAATCTTGTAGACACGCCCATGCCCCACCCATAGGGAGAGATGCTTCAACACAACACAGGTCCGGTTGCTTCGAATTGTTTGACCCATCTGTTGTTCATCGTACTTGACAGATCGGTCTATTAATAAACATCAAGGACCCCGACAAAAGGGCCCGGACAAAATGGCCCTGACTAGACGAATTCAGGGGTCTGATGAGAAGAGGGGACCACAACGATAAACTGAATAGTGAAAATACATTTCCAGCCCTAAACATAATCAACGACATATTGTTTCCCGACGATATGGTTCCCATTAAGGTAAGTACATACAATCTATGACAGCCAGCAGAGGCTTGTGAGGCATCTACAGACGGGTCTGATGGACAACGACAGATTGACATACGTAATACGGGTTCTTTTTATCGGGGGCCTACATGTGTGGACATTTGCTGGTCGGCATTTGTCGAGAGTCCAGCTGACTAGTGCTATTATGTCGAGAGTCCTATGAAAGTTGGCCTTACAGCAGAAGCTGTATTGTTGTAGACATTTTTATCAAAAACCCTTTTAATTAGGTCCGTTTGCCGTGGTTGATTGGACGGGTCCGTTTGACGTGACGTTACCAGAAAAAAAGTTTACAGTGACGTCACAAGAAACAAAAGTTTGCCGTGTCGTTTGTACAATCCATCAACATGCCTTACAGGGTTCACGGGATGCTCTAATGCCTTAGCACTCCCGTAGTCTGATGCTGCAGACGGGAAAAGATTCGCGCCTTTGAAGCCAGAGTTAATGAAGCGGGCCAGCTAATGATGATGATTGCTCTTAGTAATTGCGTCGTAAGATAGGGCGGAAACTAGGAGGGGGTGTCACGCCCCACCGCTGACATGCGCAGTCTACACCTGTTCGCGTTTATTTGCTCGCGTGCCGAGTGTGGTCAAGGAAACAAGGGAGGGAACTAGGGGGAACAAGGGAGGGAACTAGGGGGAACAAGGGAGGGAACTAGGTGGGAACTAGCCTGCTGTGCTGTAATTTGAAATATACAAAGGAAAAGTCAAAGCTAGGCGTTTCAAGCTAAGGTCTTAGAGGTACTCTCTAAAACAGTGACAGGTCTTAGAGGTACTCTCTAAAACAGTGACAGGTCTTAGAGGTACTCTCTAAAACACTGACAGGTCTTAGAGGTACTCTCTAAAACAGTGACAGGTCTTAGAGGTACTCTCTAAAACAGTGACAGGTCTTAGAGGTACTCTCTAAAACAGTGACAGGTCTTAGAGGTACTCTCTAAAACACTGACAGGTCTTAGAGGTACTCTCTAAAACAGTGACAGGTCTTAGAGGTACTCTCTAAAACAGTGACAGGTCTTAGAGGTACTCTCTAAAACAGTGACAGGTCTTAGAGGTACTCTCTAAAACAGTGACAGGTCTTAGAGGTACTCTCTAAAACACTGACAGGTCTTAGAGGTACTCTCTAAAACAGTGACAGTGTCTGCTAGAGGCAGTGACAAATGTAGCCCGCGGTAGAGGGCGGAGTCTGAATGTGAGTGACGGGCGGTGCGGCATGCCGGACCAATGAACATGCGCCACTAACGGCTTGCCGTGAGCTCGGTGCCAGAGTCAAAGGTCATAGAGCGCGTTGATGAGCAGACGAGAGGAACACCGGCATTAGACATCACTCAGCCAGACGGGATAACTGCTGCACTGCTGCCATTTGTTCGGCCAGACGGGATAACTGCTACACCGCTGCCATTTGTTCGGCCAGACGGGATAACTGCTACACCGCTGCCATTTGTTCGGCCAGACGGGATAACTGCTACACCGCTGCCATTTGTTCGGCCAGACGGGATAACTGCTACACCGCTGCCATTTGTTCGGCCAGACGGGATAACTGCTACACCGCTGCCATTTGTTCGGCCAGACGGGATAACTGCTACACCGCTGCCATTTGTTCGGCCAGACGGGATAACTGCTACACCGCTGCCATTTGTTCGGCCAGACGGGATAACTGCTGCACTGCTGCCATTTGTTCGGCCAGACGGGATAACTGCTACACCGCTGCCATTTGTTCGGCCAGACGGGATAACTGCTACACCGCTGCCATTTGTTCGGCCAGACGGGATAACTGCTACACCGCTGCCATTTGTTCGGCCAGACGGGATAACTGCTGCACTGCTGCCATTTGTTCGGCCAGACGGGATAACTGCTGCACCGCTGCCATTTGTTCGGCCAGACGGGATAACTGCTACACCGCTGCCATTTGTTCGGCCAGACGGGATAACTGCTACACCGCTGCCATTTGTTCGGCCAGACGGGATAACTGCTGCACCGCTGCCATTTGTTCGGCCAGACGGGATAACTGCTACACTGCTGCCATTTGTTCGGCCAGACGGGATAACTGCTACACCGCTGCCATTTGTTCGGCCAGACGGGATAACTGCTGCACTGCTGCCATTTGTTCGGCCAGACGGGATAACTGCTACACTGCTGCCATTTGTTCGGCCAGACGGGATAACTGCTACACCGCTGCCATTTGTTCGGCCAGACGGGATAACTGCTGCACTGCTGCCATTTGTTCGGCCAGACGGGATAACTGCTACACTGCTGCCATTTGTTCGGCCAGACGGGATAACTGCTACACCGCTGCCATTTGTTCGGCCAGACGGGATAACTGCTACACCGCTGCCATTTGTTCGGCCAGACGGGATAACTGCTGCACCGCTGCCATTTGTTCGGCAAGACGGGATAACTGCTGCACTGCTGCCATTTGTTCGGCCAGACGGGATAACTGCTACACCGCTGCCATTTGTTCGGCCAGACGGGATAACTGCTGCACCGCTGCCATTTGTTCGGCAAGACGGGATAACTGCTGCACTGCTGCCATTTGTTCGGCCAGACGGGATAACTGCTACACCGCTGCCATTTGTTCGGCAAGACGGGATAACTGCTACACCGCTGCCATTTGTTCGGCCAGACGGGATAACTGCTGCACCGCTGCCATTTGTTCGGCAAGACGGGATAACTGCTGCACTGCTGCCATTTGTTCGGCCAGACGGGATAACTGCTACATCGCTGCCATTTGTTCGGCCAGACGGGATAACTGCTGCACCGCTGCCATTTGTTCGGCAAGACGGGATAACTGCTGCACTGCTGCCATTTGTTCGGCCAGACGGGATAACTGCTACACCGCTGCCATTTGTTCGGCAAGACGGGATAACTGCTACACCGCTGCCATTTGTTCGGCCAGACGGGATAACTGCTACATCGCTGCCATTTGTTCGGCCAGACGGGATAACTGCTGCACCGCTGCCATTTGTTCGGCAAGACGGGATAACTGCTGCACTGCTGCCATTTGTTCGGCCAGACGGGATAACTGCTACACCGCTGCCATTTGTTCGGCAAGACGGGATAACTGCTACACCGCTGCCATTTGTTCGGCAAGACGGGATAACTGCTGCACCGCTGCCATTTGTTCGGCCAGACGGGATAACTGCTACACCGCTGCCATTTGTTCGGCCAGACGGGATAACTGCTACACCGCTGCCATTTGTTCGGCCAGACGGGATAACTGCTGCACCGCTGCCATTTGTTCGGCCAGACGGGATAACTGCTGCACCGCTGCCATTTGTTCGGCCAGACGGGATAACTGCTGCACTGCTGCCATTTGTTCGGCCAGACGGGATAACTGCTACACCGCTGCCATTTGTTCGGCCAGACGGGATAACTGCTGCACTGCTGCCATTTGTTCGGCCAGACGGGATAACTGCTACACCGCTGCCATTTGTTCGGCCAGACGGGATAACTGCTGCACTGCTGCCATTTGTTCGGCCAGACGGGATAACTGCTGCACTGCTGCCATTTGTTCGGCCAGACGGGATAACTGCTGCACTGCTGCCATTTGTTCGGCCAGACGGGATAACTGCTGCACTGCTGCCATTTGTTCGGCAAGAGACAAGATTTTGTGCACACTGCTCTTCGCATGATCGTAAGTCATATCACATGACCGCTAGTCAGGTCACATGACATTTAGTCAGATCACATGACCGCTAGTCAGGTCACATGACATTTAGTCAGATCACATGACCGCTAGTCAGGTCACATGACTGCTAGTCAGGTCACATGACCGCTAGTCAGGTCACATGACCGCTAGTCAGGTCACATGACATTTAGTCAGGTCACATGACCGCTAGTCAGGTCACATGACCGCTAGTCAGGTCACATGACATTTAGTCAGGTCACATGACCGCTAGTCATGTCACATGACCGCTAGTCGGGTCACATGACATTTAGTCAGGCCACATGACCGCTAGTCAGGTCACATGACCGCTAGTCAGGTCACATGACCGCTAGTCAGGTCACATGACCGGTATCAAGAATGCATTGGAAAGATGACTTAAGCAACCGTATAGTCCAAGATTTTAAAAAAATCTTTACTTGTTCTTGGAGTGATTCGAATATTGTGGTTATAAAAGTGAAAGTTATTGAAACTATTAGCTATTATGTGTGCATTGATTAGGATCTGTAAGCCGATCTTGAGCTTAAAGAGTTCCTATTTGCGATGTGGCGGTTCTTGTTGAATACAACCCCACCCTCCCCTCCCTCCCCTCCCAGGTGATAGTTGCCTGACATGTGGCATGTTGTTACCTCTAGACCCCCCCCCACAAGCAGTACCTGGCAATATTTGGTTAGGTAAGCTAGTGAAGTATGCCGAATAAGTACCTGGTTAAGTAAGCTGGTTATGTAACCTGGTTAAGTAAGATGATTACTGGTTATGTTAACTGGTTTAAGTAAGCTGGTTATGTAAACTGGTTTAAGTAAGCTGGTTATGTTAACTGGTTTAAGTAAGCTGGTTATGTAAACTGGTTAAGACGGTAAAATTACCCGACTTCTGCCAACCGCCCAGTTATTGGGAAATCGTGACAAATGTCAATTTACTAATTTACCGTAGACATAAATTACTACTTATTTACAGAAATAGACATGTTCCTGGTGTATTTGTCCAGTTCTGACCTCCATTTTTCTATCTTCTGCCAGTTCCAAGATGTGGCCAGACAGAAGACAGGCTGAGCACGTGACCTTCTACCAACAGAGCTCACTAGCCCAGCACGTCTCGCCATGCCGACCGTCTGCTGACCAGCTGAAAGCATCAGTCCATCACGCCAGCCTCTTGGCCTGCTGCTCGCTCAAACAAAACTTCTTCATCGGCTGCCCGAACCTGCAGTACACACCCACGCCCGCCATCTTGGGCACACACTGCCCTTTGCCCCCATTTGCCCTGTTTGGGTCATCACGTGACGGACGGCAGACGTTGAGCAGTCTGCAGCAGTCTCTGGTCCACTTGATGCGGGCACCAAGAAGATCTCGGACATCCTGCCAGCCACGCGGCCAGCAGACGTCCACAAGCGAGCAGCTCAAAGACAGAAGACTTGACCCCGGTCAAGGTCTCAAATCTAGCGACCAGAACATTCTCAATCACAGCATCGCCGCCATATTGAGGGATGATACTACAAGCGGGGGTGGGGCAGGGGACCACAGGCCCGACTCTTCTACAAAGGGTGAGGGCACACTCGATGACCACAGTGACGTAGATATTACGTCATGCAGTAGTGACGAAGACTCCCGCCTAGCTGGGGTTTATCAAATCCAACCTGAAACTAGGGACCATAACTCACGTGTGCTGGGCCAGCGTGCTCACCTGCAGGTTGACTGTGAGGGGCACGCAGACTGTAAGCTGCAGGCAGACTGTAAGCTGCAGGCAGACTGTAAACTGCAGGCAGACTGTACGCTGCAGGCAGACTGTACGCTGCAGGCAGACTGTAAGCTTGAGGCTACCTATAGCATTCAGGGGACATCACTGGCTGAAGCCCCCAAACCAAATCACGGACCTGTCAGACCAACCTCTGAGCCAGCTCCAGAAGATCTCGTCCCGTCTGCCCGCCTGAGGCTCCCACCCATACAAACATTGTACGCGGTCCGCAGCGCCTTCAGGCCCACCGGCCCACAGAGTCCACAGGCCCACAGGCCCACCGGCCCACAGAGTCCACAGCCTGCCAGCCCAGAGCCAAGCTGCGTCACTGACGCCACTCGTGCTGTGACTGACTCCATACATACCACACGTCAAACGGCCACACATGACGTCATAAGCAGTCTGAGGGTCAGGAGCTCCGTGTTCCAGCAGCCCGGTCTGTGGACCCGTTCTATGGGGCGCCCCCCGGCAGACACAGGGCGCCACCCGGCAGAAGTGGGGCGTCCCCCGGCAGACGCCTGGTACACTTGGCTGCACCAGAAGGAATCCAACTCTGTTACTGCCCCACTCCAGCCCCGTGACGCCCTAACATGTCGCGTGCCCGCGGCGCCCCGCTACTATTGCGATGCGTGCCACAAGACCTACTCGACATTTGGCGGCCTCTCCAAACACCGCCAGTTCCACTGCTCTGAGCACGTGAAGAAAGAGTTCGCTTGTAAGGTCTGTTGCAAGTCGTACTCATCTCTCGGCGCCCTCAAGATGCACATCCGCACCCACACGCTGCCCTGCAAGTGTCACGTCTGCGGCAAGGCCTTCTCGCGGCCCTGGCTCCTACAGGGACACATCCGCACCCACACGGGGGAGAAACCTTTCCGGTGTAGCCACTGTGGCCGGGCGTTCGCTGACCGCTCCAACCTGCGCGCCCACCTCCAAACTCACGCGGACGTCAAGAAATACGCGTGTAAAACATGCGGGAAGACGTTTTCTAGGATGTCGCTGTTGGCTAAACATAGCGAAGGGAGCTGTCCAGACAGACATTCTATTCGTCGTCTGCACTGACCAAGAGACTGGGTGGTCAGACATTCTATTCACCGTCAAAACTGATCCAGTGGACGGGTGCTCAAATGGATATTTATTGGACCTGTCTGAGTGTCAAATATTTTGTCAAAAATTGTAAAATATATCGGTAGTAATTTAACTGTGACTTCATTGTTTGCATAATTTTATGTTGCATATTAAAACACCTGTCATTAGAGAAACAATACATGTATAGATCTGTCTGTCTGTCACAAACAAATGCAAATGCAAACACAAACACAACGCAAACGCAATACGCAAACGCAAACACACACAAAACGCAAATGCAAACTCAAACAAAAACGCAAACACAATGCAAAACGCAAATGCAAACACAAACCCAAAGCAAACACAATACAAATACAAGCACAAAAGAAAATACAAACGCAAACTCAAACAAAAGTAAACTCAAACTCAAATGCAAACATTTTATCAAAATGCGCTTTCATGGACGTCAGCATATAAATAATCTTAACATAAATCTATTTTTACAAGCTTTTATTTAACTCACTTCCTCTGTCTGTCTGTCTGTCTAGACGGAAACGCAGGAGTGAAAATTCGGACAGTTCTACTTGACCGATACGATTCACAGTTGGCACGTGGGTCAAGACATGAAGACAATGCAATCTGAATCTAAATTTGACTTAATTGGATGCCTAATTAATTTTTTATGAATTAATTAAAATTTGGACCGAATTAGTAGGCATGTCTAGCCAACCACACCACACGCGTCATCACCTTCAATAGCTGCGCCATCACGTAATGGCTGCGTTCAAAAACCATTGCGCGCCTACTGAACGTGATGTTCAGTAGGCGCGCAATGGTTTTTAGTCATGCAACTCTATTGTAAATAAAACATGTAAAGTACTGAAAAAAAAATTCATAAAAAACGTTTTAATAACAAGCTTTTATGTAATGATGCACTAAAAAGTAGAAAATAAATTATAGACTACTATTTAAATAACTATAAAGAAAAGCGTGGGTGTCATCCTTAACATTAGTAAAGGTATCCAATAGATACTAAAGTGACCCACGCTTTTCTTTATAGTTATTTAAATAGTAGTCTATAATTTATTTTCTACTTTTTAGTGCATCATTACATAAAAGCTTGTTATTAAAACGTTTTTTATGATTTTTTTTTAATTATTAGACTTAACATTATTCCATCGATTCTAGATCTAGAAAGAGCTAAATCTAGATCTAGATCTAGAATCTACGGCTGGCTTAAATATCTAAGTTCAGTTTTTCCTTAGCTCTAGAATTTAGATAGATAAATCCCTTGGATTCTTGAATTAGATTATCTGTAAGGCTAAAAAGCAAAGATTTATATAAAATATTTAAGGACTAAAATAGTTTAACAAAGAAATTTAATTATTTATTGTTTTTTTTTTATCTAACTAATTAATTTAGGTTTGCCTTACCGGTAGATCTAGATTCTAGAATCTTTTGCTTCTTGATCTAGGCTAGATAAATTTATTGTATAGTCAAATTAGAAGAACTGCCCAGCGTATCCTAATGAAAAATGATAATAGTATTGGAACCTTAAAAAATATAGCAAGCGGACGTATCGTTAAAGCTATAGCCGACAGAAATTTAGCTTTATAATGCGTTAAACTTTTGAATGGGCAACATGGTCTTCAATGGAAGCCGCCATGTTTGTTGTAAAAAAAAGTAAATAAATCATGTGACTTCACTAAAAATAAAGTAATTGTTCTGAACTTTTATACATAAAGTGGTGTTTCTATCAATGAATATATCAAAAAATTAATTAAGGTCTTTAAACTAATTATTCTCAACATAAATACGTATTTAACAGCTCTACGCATAGTGCAGATGCTCTCATTTAACCAAACAGACAGACCAAAAAAAAAATAATAACAAGCAAGAGAATAAGTCTTAGTATACAAACTTCTCGCTTATAGATGAATACCTTTAGGAAGAAACCCATGTATCTAAGGTGGACCCACGGGCCCCCACGTATCTAAGGTGGACCCACGGGCCCCCATGTATCTAAGGTGGACCCACGGGGCCCCCATGTATCTAAGGTGGACCCACGGGCCCCCATGTATCTAAGGTGGACCCACGGGGCCCCCATGTATCTAAGGTGGACTACCGTCCCATTCAATGAAATAGAATTTATATAGAAAAAAATTTACAAGG